GAACCGGAAGAGGAAGCCGCCGAAGCTGCTTCACTTGCAGGAAACTGGGTTTTATTCTTCTGGACTTTTAGGTTTTCAACAATTAACCAACATTTAAGTCATCAAAATGTTCTGATTAAAAATAATATTCTAATTTAAAATGTTAGATTATCCCGTCCCTTTCCGAACGTGGGTTCAGGTTCTGACCCATCAGCTGCTTCACCTGAGCTCAACTCACCTGCACGTCGCCCCGCCGTACCGGAAGTTCAGCGGCCATGCGCGAGAGCCAAATATGAAGCGTCGCGTCACGTGACCGTGTGACGTTTTCCTCATCGCTCGATCCTTAACGCGGGTTGGCCGGAGTCCTCCCGGGTCCAACTCACTTCAAACAGCAGAGTCCAACGTCATAATGACGTCATTATGTGACTCAGGTGTGCTGAAGCAGAGACACATCTAAAGGTCGCAGGACACCGGACTCCAGGCTCATCATCATCATCATCATCATCATCATCATCATCATCATCATCGTGGGCCTCGGAGGTTCTGCTCCGTTCTGATGGGCTCAGAGTCTAGAACTGCCCAGACTGGTTCTAGTTCAGAACCTGGAAGACCCTCAAGTCCATTCACTCTGAACCTCTAGGTTCAGAACCAGAACCAGCTGGCCTGTTGATGGGTCTGAGGAACCACTACGGGGCCGGGTAGTGAAGAACTTTAAGTACCAGCAGAGCCTTAAAATGCGTTTTCAGATGGACGGTATCAGCACAGAAAGTTCTGATCCACATCAGAGAGGAAAAACTCCTCTTTAACAGGAAGAAACCTCCAGCAGATCCAGAACCGGATTCGGTACCAGCGGCCGACTGGAGGCTTGAGAAGACAGAGCAGAAGAACTGAGAAGTTTCTAATGAAAGTAAAAAGTTAGCAGCAGGATCAGGTGATGACAGCCTCATGTCAGCTGATGCCCCGCCTCCACGAAGGAATCAGCCAATCAGAGCACCAGATCAAGTGGAGGTTCTATGGAGAGAAAACAAAAAGTTAGCGGTTGAAATAGCAGCAGAAAATGCTAAATGGAGAGTAGCAGCAGAAGCCTGTAGCATCATGACTGCAGCAATGGCTCGGGATGACCCTAATCAGCTTCAACTGGAACTAGAACCATCAGGATGGCAACACTGCTAACAGGAGGTTCTACAGAACTTCACGGGTCAGAACCAGAGGCAGTCGGATCCTTTGGTTCTGACCACCTCACCGGGTTCTTCTAGAACTCCTTCATTAAAACAGTAGAACCTGATTGGTTCTGATTGGTCCATTCAGACAGGCTGGCAGAACCACAGGAGGCGTTTGAGGCTCCCTCTAAAATACAAAGTCTGAGCGTCCGATGGGCCTGCAGGAGCTCGGTCGATCCCTGTGATCGATCCAATCCGGATCACCTGACCTGGTTCTGTTCGCTATACCTCTCTGAAGTTACATCCGGATCGTTACTGGGACGATTTTCCGTCAACGTTCCATAATCAGAACTGGCAGCCGGTCCTGAAGGTCACATGAACTAGATCAACTGCCGGTTCTGATCCAGTAGCTCAGCCGGTTCTGAGCCAGTTCTGACCAGAACCAGCAGCTGGTCCAGTTCATGTGACCTTCAGGACCAGATTCTTCCATGAAGGCAGGGCAACATTTCTGCCACCCGCTGACGGGCCGGGCCGAGCCGGGCCGCTCTGTTATGTAACTGGGATCTGAAAGTAGAGACAGGATTAGGGGTCAAAGGTCAGAGCCCAGCAGGATTAAAACATTAATCTGCTGGTTGGATCAGCTGCTGTTCTGCTGCGGCGCCAATGGTTCTGGTTCTGGAAATCAGAGCCTGGTTCAGGCCTCCAGAACTTGGGTCAGACCCCTCTTCTTTATGGTCTTCCTCCTCTGATGTCATTCCAACAACATTGAGTTGCCATGGAAACCTGTATTTAGACCCATATTCCCATCAGGAACCATAGAATTCACTGATCTGAAGCAGTTCTGAATAAACGGATCAGTGGTTCTTCAACTGCTGACCCAATCAAAGTTCAGACTGGGCCAAGGGCCCGGGATGAAGTACTGACCCATAACAGAACCCTGATTAATCAGACGAATGGACCGGGTCGGAGCGGGTCCACTTAGAACCTACCTGATTCTAACGGTTGATCCCAACAGAACCTGACTGGTTCCGGTGGCTCTGATCGGCAGACGGCTGGTTCTGCTCAGTGTCCAAAAATCCAACAGGTGGAACCTGTGATTGGGAAGCTAGTTACCAAGGTAACTGGTTAGTTCCCTGGGCTGTAGAAGGGTTGGTGAGCTGAAACCTGACTGGTTAACCAGTCAACTCATTCTTAGATTGTGTTGGTTTTTTTAAAGGTTTTATTGGCTCTAGTGACCTTTATTTGATAGTTAACAGACAGGAAAGTGGGAAATGAGAGAAGGAAGACATGCAGCAAAGGTCACCAGGTCGGGAATCGAACCTGCGACGGCCATGTCGAGGACCAAGGCCTCCATATGTGGGTTGTGCTTAACCCCTGCGCCACCACAGCACACCATGTAGATTGTGTTGTTTTTAAATCAATATTTATTCGAGGAAATAAAAGCAGAGTGAACTTTATTAAACTTTTACTCTTAAAGGTCAAACACAAAAGGATCAGTCATTCCTCATAGTTACATCATTTACAGTGACATCTGAACGCAGCACGAGGCCTTCAGGGACCATTGGAACATCTCAGCATCTACAGACATAAAACTTTACAGGAGGGTCCCCAAGTCCAGACCTCAAGGGCCACCTGACCACTTCACACACCTCTCTGCTGAAACACACCTGGGTCAGGTAAACGGCGCTGCCAGCCGATGCAGATGCATCTAGAAGATGCAGGATGGGGAGGACCCCTGTTCTACACACACTTCCCTTCATACTTCCTGTCTCTCACACACACACACACACACACACACACACACACACACACACACACACACACACAGGTAAGGGCACTGCAGCAGTTCAGCAATTAAAGGCTTCAGGAAGGTGAGGTATAGCAGTTACCATGACACGAGGAATGGAGGAAAACAAAGCTGCTACAGAAACATTAAAGTTAAAACTTTCTGTGGATCGACACCTGGACCACCTGTAGAACAGGTCTGATGTTCTGGTTCTGACACAGTAGTTCTCCCTTTAGTTCAAGTCCAGATGGGTCAGAACCTTGATCCAATTGTAAAGTTTCTCTATGGGAAAAATGGACCTGCAGGTCACCATGGAAACAAGAATCAATACCAGAACATTTTGAGGACCAGCTAAAACTCAACATGTGAACTGGGGACGGACTCCTGGTACTGAACGCCATCAAGGGTTTAAAGCGTTTGATAAAACTGCAGAAACTGGTTCTGGAGTGGGTCCGGCATCTGTGGAACCGGTTCTGGTCATAATGATGAAAAAACAAAGATGGTCTCAAAGAACCCTGTTCCCATAAAGACCGGTTGGGTCTCGGAAGGTCCAGAAGACGAGAATAAAGCTGGATGGATCTTTGGGTCTTGGTTCAGAACCGCCATGAAGTTCTGAGGATCTGAGGTCCGTTTCAGGTTTGAGGAGTTCTAAGCTCTGGAAGTCACTTCTGGACCTTTGAACCTGACTGAGGTTCTGTTGGAGGTTCTGCTTGCACATTTCAGAAGGTCCAATTCTCCAAGGAACCTCTGCATTGTTGCTCGGAGAATTCAACGCTGGTCCTGGACCCGGACTCTTCCTGAGATTCTGGTTTGGAGATATTTGGATCCACTGAGCCTCTGGAGCAGGCTCAGTGGTTCTGGTTCAGTTGTGACTGTGAGGACAGCAGAGGCTCCTCTGGAGCTGGTTTGGGGATGGGTTGAGATCTGGTTGGTTCCGGACGGTTCTGGAGAATCTCTGCCTGATAAAAATCAGTCAGAAGCGTCCCTCCTCACCAGTAGGGGCCACCGGTCTCCACTCGGCCCCAGCTCTGCCACTCAGGGAAGATCCCCGACGATGTTCTGGGACTTCCAAACGGGTCAAAGTCCATCTTATCCATCTTCTGTCTGCCGCCATCCCTCGGAACATCCTGCCCTGGGCTCCTGCCAGAGGCCTGGTCCAGACGGCCAGTCGGGTCCGCCATTGCCAGCCGGTAGTTGTTTCCCAGGTTGTTGTCCCAGTGGACCTGGTCTTTTGTCTGGTACCGGATGCAGAACTCTACTCGGCTGGATGGAACCAGGTCTGGAGGGAGGGGGACGGAGAAGGTGAAGGTGTCGATGTCAGGGCAGCCGTAGACGTTGTTCAGGTACCGGCACCAGACATCCTGGAATGAGTTCCAGGAGTCAAAAGTGATCCGAACTGAGACGGACTTCTCAAAGCAGATGTTCCGGACATGGACGGTACCGGAGAGAAGGTGGTCTTGCACCGAACAGGTCTCTAGACACACCTGCTGGGCTTTGAGCCGGTTCCTCAGATCCAGATAATCTGCAGCTGGTGGCGTGAAGTCCAGAACCAGGCCAGAACCCAATTCTACTGAGTCTAGAAGCAGAGCAAAACCAGAGATAAAAGTGGGAATTACAACAGGTTCTAATCCAGGTCAGGTTCAAACTGTTCAACTGGAATCAACTGAAACCAGTTACAACCAACTAGAACAAACCAGAATCAACTGGAACAAGTTGGAACCAATTGGAGCCACCGGGTCGTTCCAGGTGGCTCCAATTGGTTTGCCTGGTATTTAAATTGATCAGGAATCAAATGGTTCTCAGACCCTAACTGAAGAAGAGATTGCAGAACATCTGCATCGACTCGTCACGGGTTGGATGCTTTTTACCTTTGACCTCCAGGTCCAGTGCCTCAGTGGCGCCCTCCAGCTCTGTCAGGTGGAACTGCAGCTCAGCCAACGGGTCATCTTCGGTAAAGACATAGACGGTGGTGAGCGCCAAACCCTGGGAGTCCGCGAATGCCACGCTCTTCCTTGAGTTCTTCCTTGGCGCAGAAGTGGATGTCTCCATGGAGACGGAGTCGCAACATCCTGAGGACAGGCACGGTCGCAGCCAGCGGCAGCTCGGCCTCGCAGCCGCTGGCACATACTGACAGTCATGGTTACTGAGGAAGGAGCGAAGCGGAGGAGAGCTTGCAAGGCAGATCCTGATGGCCATGTCTACAGGCATGATGGGAAATGGAGTCTTGAGGACAGAACGACAACCTGTTAGACAACATGGAGGACCAGCCATGCCGTGTTCTCCTACTACTCTCTACTGCCTGGTCTGCTACTGCTGCTGATGGGAAATCTGACTTATCACACCATGAGCTGCATTCACACCAGTCCTGTTTTCATCAAAGTCCAGTTGCCTGGAAAGCGGTTTGGTGTGAACCCTAATCCAACTCTGATGTGGATCAAACAGTGACTAAAGTCCAAGAGGTTGGAGTCCTTGTCAAACGGTGTTTTTGACTAAATTCCCAGAGGGTTAGAGCCCCAGTTAAACAACGTTTAACTGAAGTCCTAAAAGGGGCGTGTGTTTTAATGTTTTTATCTTTTTTAATCTTTTTTTTGTTTCAAAATCTCTTTCTCACTGCTTATTACATGCTGTTTTTGTTTTAATTATGTAAAGCACTTTGAAATGCCTTGCTGCTGAAATGTGCTATGCAAATAAAATTTGATTGATTGATTGAACTTTGGTCCTCCTACCAACCTCAGTCTGGGTTTGGTGGAAGTAACCTCTGATGTTTTTCTAATGTGAACACCAAACGGACCGAGATTGCTCCAAAAGCAGGAAGTGCACAGCTGACTCATCTGTGCATTGATTGGCTGATTGAACAGGTTTATTGGTGGTTTTGATGGTTCTGGTGGACCAAACGGCTGAGGTGTGGAGCTGAGCATTGGAGTTGGGTCAGAACCAAAGCCTCCCTGACCCAACTGCATACCTCCAGTGAGCTTAAAGAGCAGACACCAATATGGATCAATAATCAATAATTATTTGGATGATCGATCTCCTCCAGGTGTCATCAGCTGGCAGTTCAATGAACCTTATTGATTATAGATCTGATTAACTGGAACTTCCAGAACCATCCATCCTCGATTTTCACCTTTAAATCCTCTGTTACATTGTCAACATAATTATTGATCATCATGTGTCTGAAAACTTCTCTATAAATAAAGTTTGATCGAGTCGAACCGGGTCGGAACCAATAGATGTCCCCTGTTCCCTCTGGTCCAGCTAAGGTTCTGGTTCCGGAGCAACCAGAAAACCAGAACCTCCTGACTGCTTTTGACCTCACCAACCCGATGGTTCGGTGCCGGATGATGAACTGGACCTCCAGCTTGTGTGTGTGTGTGTGTGTGTGTGTGTGTGTGTGTGTGTGTGTGTGTGTGTGTGTGTGTGTGTGTGTGTGCGCGCGCGCGCTCGCTGATGTTGCGCAGATACATTTCTGTCTCACCTGCTGCGTTTCATGGAGAAGTTCGGTTCGGTAGTTTCCGGCAGCTCCCGGTGAATTCCGCCAGCTTCGGGCCGCAGCAGGTCCAGGTTCGGTTCTGCTCTCGGTTCTTCGATCTTCTGACAAGTTTTAGACTTTATTTACTGTTTCTCTCTCCTTTCAGCCATCTTTCTGCTGTGCACGCGCCTCGGCACGCCCCCTTTCATCCGCGCACGGAGAACAGAGTGACCAATCACAGCTCAGAGACGTCAGCCGCTTCCTTGTTCCTCCAATAGGAAGCGACGGTGAGGCGACTTCAGCGGGTCACGTCCTTCTCACCGCCAACGGAGCAGCAGGAGTGAAAACAACCGACGAAGGCGGGGCTTAGACGGCAAGATAATCCGGGATGAGACCGTTAGCGGCTGGAAGAGGACGGTTCCGAAAAAGGACCAGAAAGAGTCAAAGGTCGCTGTGACGTCAGTAGGAGGTCAGAGGAAGGTTTAACAAAATCACTGTCATTAAAAAATCAGAGTCATTGAACAACACAGTAAAGCCATTCCTCCCCCCACAACCTCCACTGACCTCTGAAGAGGAAGAGGAGGATGATGAGGATGAGTTGGTTGATGAGTGATCAACTACAATCATTAAGTTTGGGGTTTCTGCTTGTTGCCTCGGCTTGAGGTTGGATTCTGTTCAGATCCTTACTGAAGGTTAACTCATGATTTGATTATTGTTTCTTAAACGTACTTTAGAAATCAAATGTTTTTTTGTTTTTTTTGCCATGTAACATTACTGTCCATGTTTAAATAAACTGCAATTGAATTTTGGTTTTATAGTTTTGAAATGTGTTCACATCCCAGTTGGATTATAAAGTCAAACTGAAAAACTAAAACTAAAATAAAGACCTGATGTTTATGGGTTAGGGTTAAAGTTGCAGAAGAACGTGTTGATAGTTGCATAAATAAGAGAGCAACATGAAATAAGAGAGCAACATGTTGCTCTCTTATCATATTTCCATCTAAAATAAAACATTTAGTCAGAAATTCAAATAATATCAATAGTGTTTATTATTTGTTTTTGGAATGAACAAACAGGCAGCTGTGCTTTAAATCTTTGGTTACATCATTTGTTTACAAACATAGTGATAAAAAAATCACAAGTGCTTACTGGGCGCGTGCAAAACAAAATAATAATACTGCCAGGAACATCAAGTAGGACCGAGAACGCTCTCACAGTGACAAAAACCTGTACCGATAAACGCTGAACCCTTAAACCCTCCAGACAAAACCGGGCCCCACCCCACTGTCCTCAAGACGGCAAAACCCTTCAGCATCTCGAGACCCTAACATCGGCTGCAGTTCGCCTCCCTAGGCAGTGGAGCATTTTGACTTCAGACGTGCAAAGAGAAACTTAACTACAGAAAATTCCTTCACTTTCAGAAAAGTAATCTTCTAGAAACGATCCGATTGGTTCTGGACTCACCAACCCCAGATCTGGGTTTTGGTCCAGACGAGGTGATGAACCCCCCACCCCCCACACTTCCCTCCTACAGGCAGATGTTGATCTGCTTGGCCAGCTCACGGTCCAGGTCGTGGATCAGGGTGTCGAAGTCCTTCAGGCTGAGGCGACAGTTGAACGGAGCATCAAAGTCCATGAAGTCGTCTATGAAGTGGCCTCCTCCTGTGGCTCCGGGCGGCCAAGCCTCCTTCTGCTCTTCCTCCTCCTCTTCCTCTCTGCTGCCTGAAACACGGAGCAGAGAGTGACACGAAGCCTTCAGCCGAACCTGAAGTCCGAGCCGGCCCTGTGGTCGGAGTTTTACCTCCTTCGCTCTCACTTCCCGCCACCTCGTCGTAGTCGGCTTCATCCTCTGCCGGCAGGTCCGGCCCGCAGACGGTCCAATCCCCGGCGTACCGGTTGACGGGGGGCGGGCTCTCCAATCGAGCTGGTCCGCCACGCCCCCGACGGGACACCACGCCATCGGCGCCGGGAAGCCACAGTGGGCGGTGCTGCGGGCATGGTTCGACCTGGAGGTGCCGGGCGATGGAGGGGGAGCGTGGAGGGGAGGGGTCGTCTTCTGGCACTCGGTTGATTGGCACTAAGGAGGAACACGGGGAATGTGAAGATTGTGAAAGGTGAATGTTGTGAGTGCAGCAGCAGTGGGTCGGCTCGGCTCACCTGGCCAGAGCTGCAACAGGTAGTGCAAGGCCTCGATGTGCCGCTTGAAGTCCACTGCATTGGCCATCTCCTCCCCCGGACAGAGGGCCTTGCCCCGGCCCCCCCAGCCAGCCGCCCGGCGGGCCTCCTGGGTTGGGGTGAGGAGAACCGGGCCAAAGCAGACCGCCAGATTCTGGTGCGTCATCCGGTTGAAGGAGCTGAAGGACGCGACCAGGCTGAGGTGATCCAGCAGCACAGACAGCGTGGCCTAGGGGGTGGGCGGGACCCATCAGCTACAGATAAATGGAGCCCTGACAGGGCGGCTGTGATGTCACTGCTGTGATGACATGAATGTAGTGCCCTCATAAACTGGATGAAGGCGTGAAAGTGACTATGGGTCCCTAAATGTATGAAGGCTTTAACTGAGGCAACTGCAGGAAGGAAATACTCTTGTTAATTTCTGTTGCTTTTGTATTTTAGTGTTTCATTTTCATTCTCAGTTTTTCATTCTGGATCTTTGTTGAATAAATAATGACTGTAAGGGTTCTGGGGTTCTGTTTGGACCCTTTAGAACTGTCCGTTAGAATGGTTCCTATGTGCTCAACCCAATCACCAACAGACCCACGGAGTTTGGTTCTGTAGATCCGCAGACATGGCCCCCCCAAGGTTGCTTCAGTTCGCTTTACCTTTTTATTTTGTACACGAATGTGTCAGCAGTGGTGGGAAGTAACGAAGTACAAGTACTTCGTTAC